ATTTTTTATTTATTTACAATTATAACGTAAATGCACCACCCACCTTGAGATATCAGTTCTAAGGTCTCAAGTATAGTTTTACAACGGCTGCCCCACCCTTTAAGCCGAAACCCATTACTGCTTCACGGCACGGGTACCTACCTGCGCGGACTCACAAGAGGTCCTACCACCAGTAAAAACAAGTATTCCTAGCATCACTCACCAGAAGACATAGGCCAGGTACTGTATTTTTATTTGCTCAGTGGGTGAATGGATTCACGGATATGGAATGGATTTATGTGGTATTTAGTTATTTTCGAAGCCCATAGACATAATTACGGAAATGTCAGCTGAGCGAGAAACTCAGAGGGTTGATGTCATTGATTAGGTTTCACGATTATCTCTTTGACGAGTTCGTAGCGACATGTTAATTAGTTATGCAGAATCTACACAATCATTTATCTATACTAACATTATAAAGTGGAAAGACTTGTTTGTTTATTTGTATTGAATAGGCTTCGAAACTACTGAACCGATTTGAAAAATTCTTTCACTGTTTGGAAGCTACACTATTCCCGGGTAATATAGGTTATATATAATCTTTTTTGAAAAAAAATTAGGGGTCCTTACTAAAACTCCAATAATGTAACCCAAGGTGTAAAAAAAATACCTAAAATATTCTTTACATCGCGTGCCCTGCGAAAACCATTGATGATAGAATACAATAATGTACTACGACTTTGTAGAACACATTATTATTTACAAAAAGTGTCATGACAGCATATGTCTAACTATTAAAGTTATGCCGCAATAAGTGTTCTTTTATTTTTTTAAAAATAACAAAGTCAAATTTCGTTCAATTTTTTGTTAAAGACAAGAGCGAAGCCGGAGCGGGCCGCTAGAATTACATAAAATTATTCACAACCTTTAAATAGTTTTCCTCAAAGGTTTCCTCTATTCGTACCATATAAACGTCCTGCATCCTGATTAGTAGTGGCTAAGACTTGACAGTGTCACTGTGGTTGTCGATGTAAAATCAATACGTCGGGAACCAAATACGAAGAGGAAAACTTGACTGCCCTCTGACTTCTCTCGTATGCTATCTTGTATCTTTAAATTATTATCAAATACCCACTACGTCTTTGAGATACTATTCCACTCCATATTGACTATAATTGAAAAGCAAACATTATTTATTTATTTATTGCTTAAATGGGTGAACGAGCTGACAACCGACCTGGTGTTAAGTGGTTACCGGAGCCCATAGACATCTACAACGTAAATGCACCACCCACCTTGAATTCTAAAGTATCAGTATAGTTACGACTGCCCCACCCTTCAAGCCAAAACGCATTATTGGTCCTCGGCAGAAATAGGCAGGGTGATCGATTGCAAACCCCATGAAATTACACTGCTTGAACGTATTGCAGCACTTACGTACTTAAATGTTCACAGTAGAGAGTAAGTAGTAGCTTGGTTGTGCTCCTAGCATTGCTGAAGTCCATGGGCGGCGGTAACCACTCACAATCAGGTGAGCCGTATGCTTGCTACAATGCTACAAGGGCAATAGAAAAAAATTATCGCTTGGATGGATTTCAAAGCGCCTCTATGTGTGTACTCTATGTTAAATGTATTTTAATTTTATGTCTGAAGCTTAGTATTTCTTTCCCAAATTAGAAATAATTGTGAGAATCTCTTACATTTTTAAATTGTGTATTGACAACATAGGTAAATAAATCAACTTTTTGGACTTTTTGGCGGGAACGCGAGGAGTGAAGTTGTGCGATTTGTTTTATTTTGTCTATTTAGTGTTTTTTCAGGTGTAAATGTGTAATAACGGTGGTTTATTAACTGTTTAATATCTGTAAAAGTGCACAAATGTGGGAAAATGAAACAAAGCCGCTGGACGTCACTTCTCGGGATCCTCCATAAAGTCCAATGAAAAAGTCTCAGTAGATGACCACCATTTTACTGAGATTATATTTCATCCCATATCATCTTATCTTCATTTCATAATTTTTCATAAAAATAAGAAAATAAATTAAAATAAGACATGACTTAAAGGTCTTAGTTACCAGGTCACAAAATCCCTTAAAAAAAAAAAAATCAACTTTTTCAAGTCTTCTACTGTCTATTGCAACTATTACAAGATTGGCGCTTGTTTCAGGTGAATGAAGTTAGCCCCTCAAAAAATTTTTTTTTTCATATTTTATACTTATTGTCTATTAATTCGTTTGTTCATCATTTGTTCATGATTGTTCACTGTTAATAATTGTTTGTTCTGCATTTATTTATTTAAAAAAAATATTTAAAAATATACCTACAAGTTAGCCCCTCTAATGCAATTTTTAATATTTTTTCATCCTTAATGACTCGTAAATATTCATTTTCGATTGTTCTTATATAAAACACGTTTGTTCTCTTTCGAANGGGCAGAAAGATCCTGGAGTGGCGACCACGTACTGGCAAGCGCAGTGTGGGACGGCCACCTACTAGATGGACCGACGACCTAGTAAAAAGTGCTGGGTCTCGTTGGATGCAGGTGGCAATGGACCGGTCGCACTGGAAATCTATTGGAGAGGCCTATGTTCAGCAGTGGACGGCGATAGGCTGAAATGATGATGATGACCCCAGGATCCCAATTTACCCCATGTCATGGTACGAAAAATAAATAAAAATCACACGTTTTCCCAATTTGAATTTGGAATTATCTTCTTTAAAATTTAAACTTTTAATTATACCAAATCAGCCAGATACAACAGAACAAATAGTATAGCCAAAGAGATTTTATTACAAGTTCATACATACTATAATGCGAAAAGACTTTTTCCCCAACCTATTATGAACATATATTGCAGGATCTTATGAAGAATATTTCTATGAAAAGGGCTCCAGGAAGCTTCAAATTTATAGGCCAATTATTTATACATTCCATCCCATTATTTCTGCCAACGGCGATTATAAAAAAAAAATTATTTAACAATTGAATAACTTTTTGAAAAATGGGGATAAAACTTTTTTTCTAACGAGGCTTGATTCTTTCAAGTGTAAAGAAACTACTAGAATTTTTTCAAAATTTTAAAATGACATTTAATGTTATAAAAAAATGATTTTATCTGATGAACTCTTTTTAGCGGTGGTGCACGCATGCCGTAACAGCCGCGCGGAGCCCTATTTTCAACGACAAATTCAAATTATAAATAATAGATATAGAGTTCCGGGAGTACGGACTTTTTTAACGGAAATTTCCTCCTTCTTTAACTAGCTTTTTTCAAAATTCCTCAAATATTAATATTTTTCGAGTTATTAACGAAAAACTAAGTATAAAAAATTTTTCATCTTATTTTGTTAATAACAATTGCAATTTTTTACCTGCACCAAAATCCTTCAAAAACATTTTTCTACAGGTGATTTCGAATCCAGTGAGCTATCGGTCATATTTTTAGGACCTTTATCGCTATTTTTTTTTGTTGCTTAGATGGCTGGACGAGCTGACAGCCGACCTGGTGTTAAGTGGTTACTGGAACTCATAGACATCTACAACGTAAATGCGCCATCCACCTTGAGTTCTAAGGTCTCAGTGGCTGCCCCACCCTTCAAGCCGAGCATTATTATTTCACGGCAGAAATAGGCAGGGTGATTAAATAGAAACTTCCCGAATGACATAATGGGAGTCTAATATTAAATATAAAGTATATTATCTATGCAATTGATTCAAGACCAAGGAATGAAAGGGCAACCGCAATGCATCTACCAATTCTAGAAAAATCTGAAACTAGTGCTGAAATCAAATGTGGTCCTAGAAAATAGGTAAGTTCTTTTTCTGTGTTTGACGATCCGAATTGATATTCGTAACTTCAACCAAAACAACCATATAATCTGTGCATTTTATTGCTCTTAACCATAGACAATGTTTACTTTTGTATACGACTTTACTTTTATTTTTCGCGAAAGTTCTGAATTTTCTGTTCCTTTCTGTGGGCACTAACTTATAATGAACGCAGGCAATACAATTTAACTCTTAATGAACCTAAGCATTTTGAAAATTCGTTCGGATTTATTCACGAAGGAAAAATAAAATTGTTTAAATTAATACCACACTATGGATTTTTATAGAATCAGGTGTCATCGCTTTTATTGAACTCTTTCGATCCCAATTTTTTATCTCAAGTTTTCCTCCCAAGTTTTTATCTCTCCTGGTGAGCCGTAACCAAAGTTTTAGATGTCACGCAGTCCACCGCAACCCGTCCTGAGGTAGGTACAATTTGTATTGTGCATCGATTGCCAACCCCATGAAATCACACTGCTTGAACGCATTGCAGCACTTACACCGCACAATAATTTTTTCACGGTAGATAGTAAGTAGTAGCTTGGCTGTACTCCTAGCATTGCTGAAGTCCATGGGCGGCGGTAGCCACTCACTATCCGGTGAGCCGTATGCTTGCTACAATGCTACAAGGGCAATATAAAAAAATTATCGCTTGGATGGATTTCAAACCGCCTTTTAAGTGTGTGCTCTATGTTAAATGTATTTTAATTTGATGTCTGAAGCTTTATATTTCTTTCCCAAATTAGAAATAATTTTGAGAATCTCTTACATTTTAAAATTGTGTAATTACAACATAAGTAAATAAATCAACTTTTTCAAGTCTTCTACTGTATATTGCAACTATTACAAGATTGGCGCTTGTTTCCACTGAAGTATGAGGTCTATGCTTGTTTCATAGATTCCACACTGGAATGACAAGCTAGTGATGCGCGCTCAACAAGGAATCTCTTCGTTCTGACTCGGTTGCTAAAATTATTTTTAGGTGAAAACTAATGTCTGTTTACTTTTCTAATCCAACAAACAAAAAATGCGATCTTATTTAAAAGTAATTATTATTTATTAAAAAGTAGACACCTGATTAACCACAGAGAATAAAAACTATGCGAGCGCCACAGAATCGATTCCTCTGCCTTTTCTCGAAACATCGATACGAATACTTATTCCGATTCACGTGATTACGTCACTCGAACCAAGCGAAGCACGGAGGGAGATGTACAAGATTTGTACTCTGCTAAAATTAATACGTCATCTCGTAATCTAGAGTGTTATTTATAAATTAAATCGTGGTTACATATATAATTTAATTAAAAAACCAGTAAGTAACATATTCTGAAAGGATGTTAATGTTTCATGGCAGAGGACGCATTGTTTGGATTGTAGTGCAGTGCCTATAAATGCATAATATAACCTATCTTCGCTTTGCATAAATCTATGAGGTCGTACCCTTGTGATTTACAAAGACACTGTATTTACAGTAATACTGTGCTAACGCGATTATAACGGTGCTTGAAGCGTGATCGGTTTAGCATCGTGGAGGCTTGTTGAGTTTTGCCGCGCTCCGTGGGTTGTTTATCTGAGGCGTCAATTGCATATTGCAGGCAAAAATGCCGGCGGCACGGGGTGTGAAGCGTGCTGCTTCCAAATCATCGACCACGACATCAGCTTCGGGACCGAAAAACAAGAAAAAACGCGGAGGTAAGTTTCCTATAAATTGCAATTGTTTTCTTCCAAGTTACTGTGAGACGTCAATGACCTGTCAAACTGTGATGGCGGGAAACGACGCTCAATGAACTAACACATATTTTTGCTATTGTCTGGCTACGAAGAGTTTTGCGTTAATTATATTCAGACAGTTTGCTTTGTTTAACTGTTAATAAATATTATTAACGATTATGTAAGTCATAATTTATGTTAGTAGAATACTTTGAGGTTATACTATATCGTTTATCACACTTGCTCTAGTTACGCGTTAGCAACAGCGCGGGGTACATTTTTACAAAATACCGCGAAGACGTTGCAAACGTTCATTTTATGGTTTATTTAAATTCGCAATGACTTTAAGTCTATTAAATAACGCCTTTGTAAGATATTGAGTCATACTTAACAAATTAACATAATATAGATAACCTAATAAATTTATCAAGGACATCGCAAAAGCCGAATATAGATGCATACTAATGAGATGTAAACAAATGACTTTGAAAAGAACACTAAATAAGTCATTGTTGTTATGTTAAAAAATATAATTCATATTTATATGTTTACCTATATGCTATGTAGTATTTTCCAATATTATGTCTGTATTATAAACAATGGCTTCTATCTATTTATCATTTCGCTTTATGCAAACTAATGCATAATTTCAGTACTGGTCAGCAACAAGAACTTGTAATATACATATTAGTTCATACATATATATTCTGGAAAATTATAAATAGATAAATAGAATACAAGGAATATTAAAATAAAAAAATATGATAATTGATTTAAAAGAACAGTTGTTATTATTCAAATGAATATATGTTGTAAATATAAAAATGATTAAACTTTACTAAATTAAATCTCCAGCAATACAGTTGGAGATACCCACTGCTCCAAAGAAGCGAGGACGTGTTCTGACATGTGGACAAGGAGACGTTGGCCAGCTCGGCCTTGGAGAAGACGTAGTGGAAACTACAAAGTTAGTAACTTTAGTTAAAAGAAACTACTTTTGTCGTTGTGGCCTAAAAGATAAGACGTCCAGTGCATTCTAGTTGAGCGATGCACGGGTGTTCGAATCCCAGATGGGTACCAAATTTCCAATGAAATATGCACTTAAGAAATGTTCATGATTGACTTTCACGGTGAATGAATAACATCATCTAATTAAAATCTAATCTGTAAAACTATAATTTGCATAATTACTGGTGGTAGGTACCACCACCCCGCCTATTTCTGCCGTGAAGCAGGGGTGCGTTTTGGTTCGAAGGGTGGGGCAGCCGTTGTAACTATACTGAGGCCGTAGAACTCATGTCTCAAGGTGGGTGGGGCATTTACGTTGTGGATGTCTATGGGCTCTGGTAACCACTTAACACCAGATGGGCTGTGAGCTCGTCCAACCAGCTATGCAATAAAAAAATATTTAAAAAGCTGCTACCCATAAACATTTCCAATAACTTTAACTTAATTTATTCCATTTGTCACACAGTATCTCAGTTAAAGTGTACCTAAAAGACTGTGAATGAGGACTACGATAATTACTACAGTAAGGTGTATGGCTGACAGGATGCGTTCTGTAAAGAGACATCAGAAACACCTTTGTGTTGTAATGTGTAAAATGTATAGTTTTCAGTTCAATTAATTACATAATATTTGAATTTACATGTATGTTACATTAAAAAATACATAAGTAAGTCAAAGTGCACTTCTGCATCTTCTCACCTTGAAAACTTTTGTAAACAAGTTTAAATATTACCGACTAACTATTCTTTGGGCATGATGATGTCATGGAAAAATATGTGAATCATGATTTTTCATATTCCTAATTGGTAATGTTACTAGCTCATACGATAAAATTATGCTGTATTTCTAGTTTGTGCAAAGTAGTTGAGCCTTTCGCCTCGTGTCTTATGAAAGTATGCGGCAATCAGTTTTTGGCCAACTAATAACACTAAATCTCAGCAGAATTGTCTGTATATGTACTCTAAACATGCAAGTAATTTAACCTTTTAATTTTGTAATACTGAATTTAGGTACGTACAAATTATTATATGTTTATTAAACTAGCGGACCGGAAAGATATTGTCCTGCATACACAAAATGAATGAATTAATGCATACACAAAAATTCATTCAAGTTGATCCAGCCGCTTAATTGCGGTATAGATAAATAACCTAGATACCGACTGCAGCGCCATATGCCGGGCTTCTTTGTGAATCTTAACCATCCAGGGTGCCACGCAAGCGCATATAAAAAAAAAAATTCAAATCGTATCATAAATTCAGCTACTTAGGAGGAGTTCAATGACACACAGTACAGTCGTATTATATATATAAAGATTAATGAAAAATTTGTTACAGATTCAAATATGTGACTGCATTGGGTGATAAAATAGTTGATGTGCAAGCAGGTGGTATGCACACTATAGCATTGGACAGCAGTGGAAAGGTATCTTTACCAAAATATAGATTTTAAGTAATTTTTACTCAGTGTTTAATTTGATTATTTAGGTAAATATAGAATTCAATTTCAAGGTTATTATTCAAAATGTATTCATTAATGAATAACAATTTCCTAAATAAAATAAAAACAATTGAAAATCATTCAAATCGGTTCAAACAAACAAAAACTGCACAATCAAAAAAATCTCCATTTCTTATAAACATAATAATGGTATTTGTTACATTCAGAGGATATATTTTCTTGTTAGAAAATCGTATTTAAAGTACCAACATGATTTTAGCAAAATCTAATGTGTAGGCTGATTATAGATTATAGGAAGGCCTTCCACTAACTAATAAATCAACAAAGTTTTTAGAAAAGAAACATAAAAAAACGTTGCTATAAATATATATAAAAAGCATAATTTTTGCAAACAATCACATTTAATATTCTCGGTTTATTCTAGGCGGTCCTATTATAATTTTTTGTGAAGCCAGTTAAAAATATTGAATGTTTTCAGATTTGGACTTTTGGTTGTAATGACGAAGGTGCCCTTGGACGTGCCACCAGCAATGAGAAGGATGAAGGGACTCCCAAACAGGTTTCTTTGCCTGTCGCAGCTGTGGCTGTCTCGGCTGGAGACTCACACTCTGCTGCTTTATTGCAGAATGGAGATGTTTATGCTTGGGGGTCTTTCCGAGTGAGTTTTATTCTAAAACCTGACTTGCTCTCAGGTTGCATACCTACTTTATGAGTTTTTTAATAATAATTTAAAGTAGAAGATAATATTTTTACCAAATAATTTCTTTTGTAAGTGGTATTTAGTTGTTAAGTACTAGTGCTTACTTTTAGTATAAAAAAATAGTTATTCTTGGTTTAAATTGTGTATTTAAGTTACTTTTTTATTGTGTGACCAAGACCAATATTTTCAACAAACTCAAAGCAAAATGAACAAGAATCTTTAATTCAGGCAAATTCAACATGCTATAATTGACATCCACTTGGTTGTTGTAAAAAATTTTAAATTTACTTTAAGAATTAAGTACTTATCATTATGACTGTTGTTTACAGGATTCTCATGGTAGCATGGGACTGGTTGTCCGAGGGCGCGAAGGAAAACCCTGCAAAGAACCCGTTAAGATTGACATCGGAGAGCCAGCCGTAGAAATAGCATCAGGGGGTGATCATCTAGTTGTATTAACGGTACGTAACATCTCCTACCTCATACAGAGTTGGTTATTTGAGTTAAAGTCCAAGTGTTAAAAGAAGAACAACTCCAATGATGGTATAGTATCTCATTAGGGTGCTTTTAATTTTCTGAGTTCCTCTGCCAAAGCAGACATGATAGTGACAGGAACAGAATTATGTGTCCATCATATACACTTTTTTCTATGTTACTGTAATATTATATAAACTACACACACTATTTCACACAACTGCACACTAGCACCACTGACATCCCCTACAAAGCCCGCCCATTTCTGCCGGGCGTGGGGGGGGTTGAAGGGTGGCGCATTTACGCTGTAGATGTCTATAGGCCCTGGTAACAACTTAACATCACATATACAATAAATAAAAAGTTGCTTCCAGACATCAGGCAGTGTATTCACACTAGGCTGTGGGGAACAAGGGCAGCTGGGCAGGCTGGCGCAGAGATCAGCGTCTCGAGACGCCAGGCAGGGCTTCAGTATGTATACCTTTTCTTTATTCAGCCAAGAAATGTTATATGCTTCAAATTCAGTATGGTTCTCATGCCTTCGAGTTTGTTTGTACTTCATTTTGATCTCTCAGTATATTTAATTTACCTATTCTTTTATGTTTTGACTGGTCTCGAGTGGTTGTTCACAGACAGATCGTAACCTAAGTGAGGTTGTAAACTCAACAATCTCAGCATTGGAATTCCAACATTGAAAACAATTCTTTACTACTTATTAAAATATATACAATGTATTGTGGTACTAATTTGTAAATGTTGTGTTTTCATATTGTTTTTTATGACCTAATGAAAATCGTTGGGTCACGTTGGATGTCAGTGCCAATTGACCGGCCGCACTGGAGATTAGAGGCCTATGTTCATCAGTGGAACAGTACAGTAACTGTAAATTGGGGGGAATGGGGCACTTTCCAATCCCAAAATAATTTTTCAGTAGTTTATCTTAGGGTAATATCAATAAAATTGAGATTGAAACGGTTCTGGAGGTTAAAATATTCATTTACAATGCATTATTATACATAGTAAAACATACACAAAAACTTAAAAAATTTGCTTGACTTGATCCACCTTGGCTTTTGGGGTGAATCGGGTCACATATGGGGACAATAGAGTTTTTCGATAGGGGTAGCACTGTTAGTTGTTAGGTAGGTAATTAACTTTTTAATATCTTTAATTGATTACAAAACTCTGATGACTAAACTATTTAATATTCATAAACACTAAATTAAAGTCTTATCCAATTCAACAAATTGAAATCTCACAAATGCATTGTGACAACTCAGATTTGTCCGCTCTCCCCCCAATGTCCGGTAGTGGAGTAGTGTTGTGAGGTCCTTTTGTTCGTACTCCCCAACGTCCGGTAGTGGAGTGTAGTGAGTGTGAGTAGTAACTGTAGGATCCGGTAGTGATAGTGTGAGGTCTTGTGTGTGTGCAGGCGCGCTGCTGGTGCCGGCGCGGGTGACGCTGCGGCAGGCGGCGGCGCGCGTGTGGGCGGGCCACCACGCCACCTTCGTGCTGGACGCGCAGCACGCCAGACTCTTCGCCTTCGGACTCAACAACTACGGACAGCTCGGTCAGTGCACCCCTCACTAGCCAACAACACTAGATACAGTTTTTTGAACTGAAACTTCTTTAGAATCGTTGTGAATCGTCGTCTGTGGGTTAAATCCAGTCATCAATGCTCCTTCCTAATATTATATACGATCTACAAATATTTATGTATACAAATAATTAAATATTTAAAATATATTCCAGGCATAACAGGTGAGAAACGTAAAACAGCGTTGTTTTCTCCGACCGAGTGTGACGCACTACGAGCCGTCGGAGATGATCACGCGTGGAGCGCTGTGGCCCTCGGACAACATCACACACTGACACTCGCTGCCAACGGACAGATATATGCACTGGGACGTTGTGAATATGGGAGGTATGAGAAATTCAATATTAACCATTTAAAAAAAAATTATAACAATAAAGCTTAAGATCGAAATTGCAAGGCCGTCAATGCAAAAATGGCCTGACCCAAAATTTTCATATTCGTGCAAATTTTTATGCAAAACCGGCCTATCCCTAGTTTCTGTCATAGACAACAAGTGACTTTGAAAACATTATATATATGTACTCGATATCAAATTTTAAACCCCTTATCTCCATAGTAACCATGGTAAACGTAGGCTACTTTTGCGCTTTTGAAATGCCAAAATTTCAAAGATTAAAAAATGTAAAGACAAGTCTCCTTTAAAAATTAGTTCAGATTGATTTTTAGTTATTTTTAAATTTAAAATAAAAATATAGGATCAAAATTAATAAAATTATTCCAACATTAAGAGCGGCGCGATAAATATGGCCTGGGGCGGCATCAAGCCCTAAATCCATCACCAACCTTAGTATATCACTGTTTTTGTACCACTGGTGGTAGGACGTCTTGTGACTCCGCACGGATAGGTACCACCACCCCGCCTATTTCTGCCGTGAAGCAGTAATGCCTTTCAGTTTGAAGGGTGGGGTAGCCGTTGTAACTATACTGAGACCTTAGAACTTATATCTCAAGATGAGTGGCGCATTTACGTTGTCTATGGGCTCCAGTAATCACTTAACACCATGAGCTCGTCCATCCAATAAAACATTTTATGTATTGACATGTTGATTTTCCGCCAACAGGTTAGGTCTGGGCGACAAGTCTGGCGACGCGGAGACTCTAGAACTAATACCCAAGCTGCAGAACAAGAAATGTATCAGTATAGCGGCCGGCACCAGCAATTCCTTCGCCGTCACAGACTCCGGTTAGTGGACAGCTTCCTCACTCAGCTTCACTCTCCATGAAGGAATCGATGATATCTTAAATTTTATTTTTAGATACATTAAATTCATTACTAAGACCGAAGTATTTTCCTTCAACTGTCGTGAGTTATATAAACAGTTAAAATTGCTCTTACGGCTTATTCTCTTATTTCGTGATCGTCCATAATTATATAACTGTAAAGTTTTAAAAATTTAAATATATCAAATAAAAACAGCTACTGCATGATTAAATCTTAAGAACATGTAATTTAATAATAATGTGTAATATAACTTGATTTGTATTCAAACAATGTCCATTATAATTCACTGAAACTGCTGCCTAAATATATGATTTCTTGGATACCAAAATTTCTTGTATCTAAACTAGTTCCGATGGTAGCATTATCCTGACATAATTTTACTATTGGACTTTGATTTTGACAGCTAATGCTTGACAGACAAGACAAGATGAAGAACCTGTTGATTTGTCCAAACAACAAGTGGATCAGTTCTTTGTTAGATATTTGTTTGTTGGGCTGACAAAGTAACTGGAGTCTATAAAGCCATCATTAAGATTTTAATTACATTACATTTATAAAAAATAGTTATCCCTTCATTATGTATTTCTTAATGAGTTGCATGTCGTTTCATACATTCTTCATATTATTAGTCTACATTTGAGTATGCTCATTTTGAACTACTTGGTACAATTTTACGAGAAAAACCTAATTTATTTTGTCCTCTAACAAGAATTTGAGTGAAATAGAGATATATGATTTAGAATTGCAATTGAATTTGTATTCCAGGCGAAGTGTACTCTTGGGGCATGGGCAGCGAGGGGCAGCTGGGCACCGGAGAGAGCGAGGACCTCAACGAGCCCACCCTCGCCGCCGTCGACAGCCGCGCGCCCCTCCGCGTCTCCGCCGGCGGACAACACACCGTGCTGCTGGTCGTGAGTGCTCATGCTCTTTATTGCTTCGATGAGTGGACGAGCTCACAGCCCACCTGATGTTGAGTGGTTACCAGAGCCCACCCACCTTGAGATATAAGTTCTAAGGTCTCAGTATAGTTACAACGGCTGCCCCAACCATTTAAACCGAAACGCATTACTGCTTCACGACAGAAATAGGCGGGGTGGTGGTACCTACCCGCGCGGACTCACAAGAGGTCCTACCGCCAGTTATAAAGCAGTTGCAAATTGCAACTTGCAACCTGCATCCTAAGAATTACATTTATTCTCCAAAACGTAAAGAGTAAAAGAAATTAAGATGTACAGTTTCTATCTCGATTTTAGGAGGAAACATCGTCGCAGAGAGAACCTTCCCCGATTCCTGAACGTGAGACGGAATCCCAACAGTCCGAGGACACCGAGGAGGAGGAGGAGGAGACGAGTAGAGCGGACATCACCGAGCAAGAGGGAGAGATCACCTCGACGTCTGCAGCCAAACCTGAGGACGTCTCCAACGATACGGAACCTCAGGTAGCTAGTTGTTTGCATCTCATATCAGTGACTAAACCTCCCCAGATTATACAATGCGGCATCGTTGTGCTTCTGTATCTGAGTCGTCCCCTTACTCCCTGCCCCCTGACCCAGTTGTCTGTAAGCAGTGCTGACTGAGAATTCTGATCGAGCCATTACTCTGGATTGTCTCACGGTCCGTTCATGGAACGATATGTACACAAAACTAAAAAGAAATGTATCCTTCCTTGCTGCAACTGTACCAGAGCATATAATGACAGCAAAGAAATATGTTTTGATATGAGCTGTATGTTATTTTCTGTATTCACAGAAAGATAGTTCATTTAAAATATACGGTTGAATTTCTGTACTGCTAATGAATTATATGTATTCTACTGCACCTGACATTATAATGGGATCGTGAGTGTTGTTCTAACTGCTTTTTTTTTTTTAAAGGGATCTTATGACCTGGTAACTAAAACCTTTAGGTCAAGTCTTATTTTAATGTATATTCTTATTTCTATGAAAAATGATATTATGTAGTGAAATGAAATAAAATGAGATGAGATGAAATATAATCTCAGTAAAATGGTATTCATTTACTGAGAATTTTTCAGTGGACTTTTTGGAGGATCCCTAGAAGCAATGTCCAGAGGCTTTGTTTTATTTTCCCACATTTGTGCCCTTTCACAGATCCTAAATATTTAATAAACCAGCCTTATTACATGTTTAAATCTGAAGAAACACTAAATGGATAAAATAAAACAAATCACACAACTTCACTCCTCGCGTTCCCGCCCAAACGTATGTTCTAGTTGCATTAACGTCGTCCTAACAGAGTATTAACTGTAGACAGGGCCGAGAAAGGCCGGGGCTCGGCGGGCCCCCCGCGGCGCCCCCCCGCGCACCAGGAGGCGCCTTTAGGTCCGCGGCCCCAGTCGCCCCCGGGTGCTCCCACTTTACTTTAGTATTCATCATTTTTGGTATCGGTTTAAATATGTAAAGACGATATTTGTCTGTGAGAGCTGTGGTTTCTACAATGGCTGAAGCTATTCAGTAACGGGTGTCGACTGTCCCGCGCATTGTCCCTCCAGTTCAGAGGAATAGTTGAGCTGCAACATCTTGGGCCATTGTCGGGAAATATTAACACGAATAGATTTGTGTAAAACTGAAGTATTCTTAGTTAATGATGTCACGTAGTTAAATATCATAAATTGATTGTGGTTTAAGCGGTTTCTGTGTATCTAAGTACAAAGGTAACGTCAAAACTAAACTATTTTAAATATTGTTAGAAAATGTTACAATATTTATCTCACATTTACCCGTAATCATCATGGACAATTCCTCACCCCACTGCGAGAGGGGTGGCTTGTGATGCGTTAATGTATAGTGAAACCATTTATCTCATACACTCCACAGTTGTATAGATTGAAATGTAACTTCAGTAACAGTTGTTGTTGTGTTGTCCCGTTGTATGTGTTGTTGTATTCAGAGTGAGGGGGCAGGGGTGTTGGGGGGGGTATCAGTCCTCGTATCAATACATTACAAATTGAATTCTCCACACAATAATTATAAGATATATTGTCGCATGTATAATAGAAACAAAGTTAATTCGTTTTCATTGTAATGATTGTCACATATCGTTTTCGAACCGGTGTGGGATAGGAATAATCAGTAGCTAGTTGTATTGTTTGAGTTAAATATTGTAATGTCCAATATGTTTTTAAGTAGAATAGAAATTATTGTCATATTTTCAAAATCAAAGTATTATATGCTGCGACCAGCATCTTATTAACGGATCCCATATGTAATCAACGTATTGATATTGTTTTCTTTTAAACATCGGTTCCTATTTATTGACACAGTAAAATTGTGCTAAGAAAAAATCTTAGAACTTACTAGAAGCCATATTGTAATGTTATATGTCATATAATGATTGTGTGTTTGTTTGTTATGTTTCCAGAAAGTGAACGGAGATGAGAAAGAGACTCCCATGGAGGTTGATGAAACTGGTGAGTGATATTTAGTTGTCGCGTCGCGACCGCCAAAACTGATGCAGTAAGGTTAGGGGTTGAGTTCGGTGAACTTGGGAATTGTTTAGACAATAATAACTGCGGGTGCAGAGTGGACGCGGGATATGGTGAGCACCGCAACATGAGTACCACAGTCTTCAGGTCCAATAGTAACAACGTTGTTTGGTAATATTTGTCTTTTTTTTAAGGCATAGATGGGTGCACGAGATCACATCCCACCTGGTGTTAAATAGACACTTATAACCTAAATACCGCCACCTATCTTGAGATATATGAATTACAATGTCTCAGTATAGTTACAACGGCTGCCCCGCCCTTCAAACCGAAACGCATTACTGCTTCACGGCAGAAATAGGCAGGGCGGTGGTACCTACCCGCGCGCACTCACAAGAGGTTCTACCACCAGTAACGAGTCAACGAAAAGTAGTGTCTTTAGCGTGGAACTGCACGGTGTAAATACATGTTTATTATATAAATGTTTGTTTGGCTTACAACAGACGCGGTACAAAAAGAGAAATCATCCGAGGAAGACGAGGGAGACGAAAGAGAAACGAAACCTGAAGAAGAGTCTAAAAGCGAGGCGCCGGAGCCGCGCGCCAGGCAACCCGACCCGCACAACGGCACGCACGCGCCCGCCTGCTGAGCGACGTCGCCCACCACGGCACCCAACTCCAGCCACAAAAACATTCATTTATTGTAAACGTTTCAGATCCGAACGGTTGACTGATTATTGAAGTGAAACGTTGTGATTTCAAAATCGATGAAACGAAAAAATAAGTCCATAGAGACACAAACACATGATTGTATAGGATTCAGCCGGCGAGAGAATGAGATAGAACGCATTACTACTACGCACTCTTCGTAGCATCCCCACTATCGTCTACTAAACATTGTCCATATGTATGCTCCCGTGTAGTGGGATACTCAGTATATCTATATCTTATTTATAAGTTTCACTTGTACCGTGTGTGACTTGCACACACACACACACACTTTTTGTAATTATTGCTCAGATGGGTGGACGAGCTCACAACCCACCTGGTGTTAAATGATTACCGGAGCCCATAGACATTTACAACGTAAATGCCGCCACCCATCTTGAGATGTAAGTTCTAAGGTCTCAGTATAGTTACAACGGCTGCTTCACGGCTGAAACAGGCAGGGTAGTTATACCTACCCGTGCGGACTGACAAAAGGTCCTACCACCAGTGAAAATTTGTGTACTAAAAACACGATCAAAGATAAGTTAAATCTGTCGAGACGAGTTAATATCTGTAACTGGAACTGTTATTTTAGATCGATTTTTTAAAAAGTCTTAATTACAACTAAACAACAATAGTAGAATTAAATCTTATATCACTAATTTATTAATTAGTCTGATATCAAAAAATACATTTTTAACTTGATTTTTGCGTATTGAAGCCTTAAAAAGAATAATCAGTCAACAGTTTCGCTTATAATTGTTTCTTACGGATTCAACGAGCCGGGGACGCGATCAAAACTACTTTTATTGTAGTACGTTTGCATTGTCATGTGCATTGACATTGTTATTGTCTCGATCGCAGCTGGTCACGGGCGACGACCACGAGAACTGTAGAAGTAGCTTTGATTACATCCTCGTCGGATGAATCTTGTGAAGTGACCTGAAGGTCAATAGTTTGGGATCCTGTTATTATTTCGATCGTATCTAAGAATTAGTGTTTTGGACGTCATTCGGTGATTTGGCAATATGGTTGACAGTTTGAGCTTAGTTCTGCGTAAGGCTCTCGTGTTGGCATGTCAGTGGCACTGGCGATGGTTGGGCCGATATCATTAACTCGTCTGACGTGTGCATGCGAACATTATTCTGTCGTAACAATAGACTCATGTGTAAAAGATTTTAAGAAACTATCCTGAAATTGGTATCAAAAGTTTTTCATTTAATTATTATTTAAATTCATAGTAACTGTTCTAATATAAGGTTTAAACGTTAAAACATTTTCTTTGTATCGTCAATAATCAATGTTTTTCACGATCCATTTTAGCTTTTAAGACACAATTGGTATATTTAGAATCGCATTTCTTGTCTTGAGTCTGCGGATTCTAATATTATTTTATTTAACTATCAAAATTCGCTAATGAGCTATAAGACTCTCACAGCAGTATTCTAACTACTTATGTTAAACAATCGACCTCCATAAGAGACTATAAGAATGATAATTTAAAAAAAACTATGCTTCAGCGTAAACTATTTAGTTGTGTATGATCGTGCATTAGGAGATAAATGAATATTTGTCGGTTAGTGGTATCGCCACAACCTGAGCAATGGTCCCAATGAAAATGTGCTCGTGGTATAAGAACTAACATAAGACGGCTTGACAAAAAACAGATAACTAAAAATTAAAAGAATATATTTATTTGTTCCGATGACTTTGGCCAAGATGTTTGGTTAAATTAATGAAGTTATTGTATTGTCATGTTTGTGAAAATTTTCAAGTCATTTGGAAATTACTGTTTGAAGATTTCCTTAACATAGACATAGAGACAGGGTGAACTAATAAATAAATAAAATTTTAAAATCAATGTTTGATCTGTTCATAATTGAATATGCAATTTCGAAAAAGGCACATCTCTGAAAATGTAAAATGTTCAGGAAATGCAAAAAAAAACTGATTTATTTTCTGAAGCAGTGTAAAATTTAAATTATTAACTTTTGAGATATATTTTAGTTTTAATTAGCAATTGAAAATTACTGGAATTATTATAAAATGGGTGTGTAGGTAAGCCTCAAAACTACATGTATATGAAAAAACGTATTTGACAAAATATACGTCATGGGCCCTTTTCGAAATTGCATATTCAATTAAATTGAAATTGGTAATTTATTAAATTTACTTATAACAATACATTTCGACTTAACTATAAACAGTCTATAGAGAAATTTCGCTGTACGAATGACGTTCAAAATATTTTATGAACCAAACATATTTCGATATAAACAGCATTAGTTCTCTCGTGTACACAATCCAATCGGATTGAACATTAATTGAGTCGTCTATTATCAAAGGTGGCAATCTGTGCATTTGGACAAAAAAATGTTATTGATATGTCAATACAGATTGATTTGAATATAATCGTCTCCTTCAAAGAATACGGTTCAAAACCTGTATTAAATAAAGGTTAATACTTAACCTGTTATTTATCTAAGATGTCGTTCAGAAGAGTTTTGTGACTGCCAATGGAATACAAAGTNTTTGGACAAAAAAATGTTATTGATATGTCAATACAGATTGATTTGAATATAATCGTCTCCTTCAAAGAATACGGTTCAAAACCTGTATTAAATAAAGGTTAATACTTAACCTGTTATTTATCTAAGATGTCGTTCAGAAGAGTTTTGTGACTGCCAATGGAATACAAAGTCAATAATTCGTTTTTCTGATTTACCAATCATTGTCCAAAAGTCACATTGCCGGCTTTGATAATAGTCGACTCAATTAATGCTGGGGACGTTGAGTTTGTGAGATTGTCGTCTAGATAAATCGTAATGTCATTTAAAATGTTTTTGTGTGCGCGAACTCAGAGGCGGCCGCGAGCTCCTCGGCGCTTAGATACAATTTTGTAAATTTCAATAATGCATTTAACGATATATATTTTTGTAAATGAATTAAAAACAAATACAAAAATAAAAGAGAAATTAATACAGAGGCGACACGTTTTGGTGATTTTTTGACGCGTAAAGAGACATGTAATTACGCGCTGTAATATCGAGTTTTCGGTTTTTGATTATATTAAAACACTATTAATTAAGTAATCAGCACCGCCGTCTTGTTCGCTCCTTGTTGTAATTTGTGAAATACAAAATGTAATTGTTTTTTTTTTTATATATCAATATTTTGTTTTAACTTTAATTAAGAAATCGTATACACTGAGTAAACGATGTTGAAGTAGCCGCTAACACAACTTTCGGTTCAGTTGACGGGGTCGCAAGTTCAAAGTGTATTTTAAATTTTTAGTTTTATTTTTTTTAAATAATAAATTTCGTATGAAAACCCCGTATTCTTTCGGATGATGAAGTGTAATGATTAGTAATGCACTTGCATTCATTTAGAACGTATTTATTTTGATTTCTAAAAGTAATGTAAATAAACATGTTTCTGATACATTTAATTTTGTTTTCATTAACGTATTACACGCGTAATTATAAATTAAAATGAAATTTACATGATGTAAAATAGTATATATTTTTTTGTCGTGCGATTCTAAACGAACGAAAAGTAGAAAGAAGATCGCTATATTTTATAGTTAAGAGGTTGCTAGATGATAATTGAAAAAAATTTATATATAAATAATAATAATTAGTTTTAAGGATTTTTGAACGAATGTCCTTTCGTGCGGTACAAGAGCGGGATGAGAGGAATTATTACAGAAAATATTGTTTTAAGACGCAATTTTATTATTATTATTATTAGTCGGTCGATAAAAGCAAGCATTCGTTTAGTGGAATGTGCAAAATTTATGTTAAAATTAATTATTTTATAAGCGTTTTATTATTTGATTGTCGCAGCCGGCGCCGCCCGGTCCGGCCCCTACACGATTGTTAAAATAAAGTATCAACTTTAATGTATTGTGTTTTCCTAATAAAAGAGTAGTGTACATTTATTGGCTTTTATTCGACAAACAAATGGTGGGTCATGAATAAATTAAATGTATATACCAGATACCAGTCGTCGTGGCCTAACGGATAAGACGTCCGGTGCATTCGTTTTGAGCGATGCACCGGTGTTCGAATCTCAGGCGGGTACCAATTTTTCTAATGAAATACGTACTCGACAAATGTTCACGATGATTTCCATGGTGAAGGAATAACATCGTGTAATAAAATTGAAACCCGCAAAATTATACTTTGCGTAATTACTGGCGGTAGGACCTCTTGTGAGTCCGCACGGGTAGGTACCACCACCCTGCCTATTTCTGCCGTGAAGCAGAAATGCGTTTCGGTTTGAAGGGTGGGGCAGCCGTTCTAACTATACTGAGATCTTAGAACTTATATCTCAAGGTTGTGGCGCATTTACGTTGTAGATGTCTATGGGCTCCATTAACCATTTAACACCAGGTGGGCTGTGAGCTCGTCCACCCATCAAAGCAATAAAAAAAAAATAGCATGACTCAACAAGCGAACTGGTTTGTTAAGTTTGCTTATTGGTCTACCTATACCTAGTGGCCTGCTCGGCTTCGCTCGGGTCTTTAACAAATATTTCAAAATAAAAAATTATAATAAACACATTAACCCTTATATTTGCGTCAGGTTTCTAAAAATAGAAAATTATAAAGGTAGTTTAAATAATAATTATTATTTTAATGAACTTTTATTTTAATTTAAATAATGTTTGTTTTTATCTATTTATTATTTTTATGTTATTATTTTTCTAATTTTCGTAGCATTATTGGAGTCTTAGTAAGGATCCTTATTTTATTTTTTTAAATAATATAGCTTATGTCACTCGGGGATAGTGTAGCTTCCAAACAGTGAAAGATTTTTGAAGTTATACTTCTGTAGGCGCGTTATGAAAAATTGATGAGAGTGAAATTTTACGATGCGCGCGCACCGTGACACAAAATTAACAGAATGAAGTTGCCCACTAAATCGCTCATTACAATACGAACGACGTAACTTGGCGAGTCTGAATATAGCCGCAGGTGAACTTTCGCGCATGTACACTCTTAAAAAAAAGTGTTATTAGCATTCATTTTTTAGTAATATAAATGACAAAATTATTATTTAATATATGTAATTCTACTAACAATTATTATTAAATTATTAACGTTAAATATTTATTACTAATTACTTAATATTTAAAAAAAAAAGGAATTTAATAAAAATAAAGTATAACTTCTTACGCGCGTACATAAGTACACGCACCCTTTTTTTCAAATCGGTTCAGTAGTTTCGGAGCCTATTCAATAGGTATAGATTAAGTTTTTTACTATCTAATCGTCGGTAACTTAAGGAGCTTTCGGGGGTAAGCGAGTCCTTAGGCTCAGCAGAGAGTTTGCCAACACTGGCCCTAGCAAGAGCAGTGCTTCGCTAAATCTACCAGTCCATCTGCCACTTAGAAGATCCGGCGAGAAACTCTAGGTTGAATTTAGTCTTGAGCTTGTATTGGTGACTCAATAATACGATGCAAAAATGTCCAATTATTATAATATTCAGGCCGCGTTGTCGGAAGATTATTAAGCTCAGCACGTGTTGCACATTTATTTATTTATAACTTTATATACTAGACAGTATAAAGGCGGAATGCCATAGGCATTCTCTGACAGTACCTTAGGGGAGTGCCGTGCCTTGGGAGTGGAGGGAGATGAACCTTGGTAGGTATAGTGTTATAGTGATATTAGGCACTTAACCTTATGTGTTACATACATAATATGTAGATACAAACACTCGTACTTAAATAAATACATATAAAATATACATAAATAAATGTCAATTAGATGACTCTGCTAACTCTCTGAGAAACAGTTCTCGAACCCTTGTCTTAAACGCTTCACTTAGGGTTTTACCAAATTGAAAGTTGAAATCCAGAAGAGGAAATTGATATGAAAAATGTGTGGATTTTACGAACGAAGCACTAATTTAATAATAAAACAAGTGTCTTTTCGAAATGATTTATTTACTAAAGGCGGCAATAACCAAACTTGGAATATAGTGAAGGTAAGACCATACCTAGATAACTAATACACTTAATTAAGACGTAAGATCTACCGCTGAAGGCATGTGAGGCACACGACTATCCAATGTTGTGAACATAGATTATACACTTAATATTTGAGTTGTGGAATCAANTTAATAATAAAACAAGTGTCTTTTCGAAATGATTTATTTACTAAAGGCGGCAATAACCAAACTTGGAATATAGTGAAGGTAAGACCATACCTAGATAACTAATACACTTAATTAAGACGTAAGATCTACCGCTGAAGGCATGTGAGGCACACGACTATCCAATGTTGTGAACATAGATTATACACTTAATATTTGAGTTGTGGAATCAAATTGAAGGTCAATACAAAAAGAAACAACCTTAGACTAAGTTTTTGTTCTCAAGCGATACAGACAAGTACATCGTATGCAATCCGGATTGGTTGAGGTTGGTTGGTATTTATTAAAACTCACAAGCTTAGTGAAAAACCTTTCAACGTAAAATTTGAAGATTTTAAATTGAGCCTTCCGATATTAGCATACTTGAGCAAAAATTTTTATTGGATTTAAAAAAAAAACAGTAGACACACTGAATATTCGAGAACATAGTAAACAATTTTGTCATCATCAACTGTTTTACCATCTTGTTAAAACATTACAATTTTTTTTCTTTTTTCAACCATTTATTGTTTTATTTTTTTAATTTTATGTGTTGAGCTTTTGTGTTTTTTTGTAAAATTTGAAACATTTTTTGTATCAAAAACTAAAGAGTGTATAAAATTGCTCTAAATCTAGATTGTGCTTGAATCTCCTGCATTAGGCGAACCATTCTAATTACTTTTATATTTATTACTTTTAAATAATATGTGATCACTATTATAAATGATTTTAGTGCACTCCACTGGAATTCAATTTCCCGATATTCTCGCCTGCACATATCCCAGATAGAACTACAAAATTGTTTCGAGAAATATTTATAGATTTAAAAACGTACAAAATGAGCAGTGTCGAAATATTTACTATACATTCGAGTAATTTGTAAACAGTGATGACTCTTTCGTAAACTTATAGAGCTACACTACAAAAATATTTTTTTATGCAAATTGACTTTTTGTATTTGTTTTAAACATCCAAGGGAAAAACTAAAACATATTCCTAAATATACCTTTAGATGCGAATTGCTCGTAAAACTCTACTCAATTATATATAAATACTAGCTGAGTCCCGCGATATTACCCGCGGTTATTGCGGCGAAGCTAGTCTAAAAAAAGTAGCATAAGTTACTCCTTATATCATCAGCTATCTATCAGTGAAAGTCTCGTCAAAATCGGTCCAGCCGTTCCAGAGATTAGCCGGAACAAACAGACAGACAGACAAAAATTGTAAAAAATGATAATTTTGTGTATGTACCGTATTTATATTCGTATGCATGTAGTAAAAAGCGGTTATTTCAATATTACAAACAGACACTTCAATTTTATTTATATATATATATATATATATATATATATATAGATTATTAAAATTCGATTAAAAAAGCAAAAGCTTTACACAGTTTATTTATTATAAAGAAACAAATATTCAGTACTTCAGACATCGCTTACAAACATACAATACCTACGCGTTTATTATTAAAAATTAAAATGTAACTCTAACAACAGTTTTGTTACAGATCGTGTCGACTGGACGACTAGCTCGCGCGCCTGTCTTCACTTGTTGGCCAGGTCCGCGTCGTGGCCGTTACCTGGAAACGTTTTGTGTGATCTTTAATTACAGTAGATTGGGAAGGAAATCGGACGCTTCCCATTTCCAACACCACAAATTTTCAACGGTTTCTCTTACGGTAATACCATTTTTTTTTATTGCTTAGCTGGGTGGACGATCTCACAGCCCACCTGGTGTTAAGTGGTCACTGGAGCCCATAGACATCTACAAGGTAAACGCGCCACCCACCTTGAGATGTAAGTTCTAAGATCACGATCTCACGGCAGAAATAGGCAGGGCGGTGGTACCTACCCACGCGGACTCACAAGAGGTCCTACCACCAGTAAATTGAGATGAAAACCATTTCCGGAGGATAAAAGCGATGCGACAGTGTTCAAATCTCGCAGGCGGGTACCAATTTTTCTAATGAAATACGCACTTAACAAATGTTCACGATCGGCTTCCACGGTGAAGGAAATAACATCGTGTAATAAAAATCTACCCACAAAATTATAATTTGCCCTTTACTGGTGGTAGGACGTCTTGTGAGTCCGCACGGGTAGGTCCCGCCTATTTCTGCCGTGAAGCAGCCGTTGTAGCTATGCTGAGACCTCAGAACTTATATCTCAAGGTGGGCGGCAGCATTTACGTTGTAGATGTCTATGGGCTCCAAATCAAATCAAATTTTTTTTATTCAACATAAATTAAAGTACATACTTGTTGAACGTCTAAAGAACTACCGCCAATTCACAAAAACTAGCCTCCGTCCTGAGAAGAATTGGCAAGAAACTCAGCAGGGATGTCTTCTTTTTTTTTATATTAGATTTTTTTAAATATTAATTTATACAATGAGTATTAATTATAACGTAACAATTATTGCAATATTGAAATGCCCGGAGCAAGCAACTCATTCCCACTTTGTGCAATCTTGTTCTTTCTTCCGGTAACAACTTAACACCAGGTGGGCTGTGAGCTCGTCCGTTCATCTAAGCTATAACGAGGACCCACCGGGCGGGGGGCCGAGCCTCATGCGTCGCAGCGCGGCGGCGGGGTCGGGCGCGCTCTCCTCAGCATCTTCAAACTCCTCCTCCCCTGCGGAACGAAACAAGAGTTTTACTCACGCGAGACGTGTACATCGCAATACACCAGCGGTCAAGGAACCGAGGTAAATTACCCCAAATGGGGTAAAATGAAATTTTGGGGGGTAAAAATGAAACTTTTGTGTGTAAAAATATATATTGAATACTAGCTGATCCGGCAGACTTCGTAGTGCCTCAATCGTTAAATAAAATACCTAAACTTTTGTATAAAATTAAACTTAAAACAAAGAAAAGGAATCCGTCCGACGGGGGATACATCAAGGAAAAAAAGAAATAAACATTTTTATTTAATTCTGAGCATTTTCATATTTTATCTAACTTTTAAACCTTCTCTGGACTTCCACAAATAATTCAAGACCAAAATTAATCAAATCGGTCCAGTCGTTCTTGAGTTTTAGCGAGACTAACGAACAGCAATTCATTTTTATATATATAGAAGAAGAAGAAGAATATAGAAGATATATTGAAGTGAAACTTCTTTAGAATCGTTAAATTTTTAGTTATTGTTTTCTTTTCAAAATTATCATGGGGGCTATAATATGAAAGATGCTAAAAAGAAGCAATTTCGTTTTTTTTTTGTGTTCTTCGCCGCGGGGTAATCAACAATTACACAAAAATATTTTTGGGGAAACAATTAAAAAAGTTACCCGACCGCTGCAATACACGAATATCGATAATTCGACGCTTGAAAGGCAAACGTGACTAAGCGACAATAACTGTTTTATACATAAATGATAGGCAATAACCATATTCGATGCGCAAAAAAATATATATATTTCTAGGTCTATTAAAAACATTTCAATCCTACAGCTAGATTCGTTAAAATAGAATTTTTTTCAGGTATTTCAACTTTAAATTAGTCTACTGTAAAGTTCACGCATTGTCGCTTAGTCACGTTTGCCTTTCAAGCGTCGATATTATAAGCCTCAATCCCTCCCCAAATCCCCGATACAATCAACAAGAAAATGAGAGAAGTGACAGACAGACACCCGGTTGAGACGTAGTTCTTTGTGCTATATACACATCTTTATGTATTTTTATTAAATAAAAAATTAAGGAGACAGTTGATTAATGTCTCAAATTAATCATTTTCATTTCATCTCATTCCATTTCACTTATTTTTCATAAAAATAAGAATATATAAATGAAATAAAACATGACTTAAAGGTCTCAGTAACCAGGTCATAAAATCCCTTAAAAAAAACATAGGTTCCTTCTCTTATCACAATACTACATCACCTTCATCAAACTCCTCTCCGTCCATGTATGGGTCATCATCCTCGACCTCATCAGCCGGATCCGGATGCAATTCTTGTCCCTGACACATGGCCGAATACATGGCTTGTAATTCGTTCTCGTTTTCTGGGATGAATCTGTAAAAATATAATCGCTTTTAGCCACTTAACGTTTCATCCTCCTACATCATAGTTTCTGTCACGGAAACTAACTTTTGTGATCTGAGTCTGGCAACTTAAGAAAAAAACACTTGTCAAAAATATGTGAAACGAATTGGCTGTAGGTTTTTAATTTTACTTAAGTTATTATTGTAAATAATAATAATAAATCCTCGATACTGCACGAATTGTGAAGGTTTCTCACTCTGGAGTCCTAACCACTGGTGGCTTGTGTCGTAGACACCGTCATCAGCGGCAATCTATTTTTATAGTGTTTTTAAAAAAATATATATTTTTAATATCTTTTAAAAAAAATATTATGTAATTAATAAGATTTTAAATAAATATAAATAAGTAATAATAATAAAATAATTTATTGCCTTTCACATTAAATAAAATAAAATACAAAAAAAAGAAAAGAAAAAATTGAGAAAAAGGCAAAAGGATGTGCTAAATACACGGTCATATGGAAGAAAATGTCATATTAATTGATAACAAGTATTTTCCCTCAAGATCCGTCAGTTTCTTCATTCTTGAGATTTTGGTTATTAGCTCAGAATTTAATCTATATGACACACAAAAACCACAGAATATATTATTTAATAAAATGTTTAGTGAATATTTCGTGCCGAGTTACCTGAGCTGTGTTATGGGTTGATCATCGACATCAAAGTCATCATCGTCGTCGGCATCAGTGGAACCTGCTTGCTGACTGAGTTCTGGTAAACTGTTGAGAAAGTTTCAGATTAGTGGCTCTGCTAGTGGCTATACTCCTCAGCATTGACAAGATAAATAGTTAAAGGCTATATATACAGAAGAATATAATTTTTATATTGTTCTAGTTGGGAACAGCTGNGTTATGGGTTGATCATCGACATCAAAGTCATCATCGTCGTCGGCATCAGTGGAACCTGCTTGCTGACTGAGTTCTGGTAAACTGTTGAGAAAGTTTCAGATTAGTGGCTCTGCTAGTGGCTATACTCCTCAGCATTGACAAGATAAATAGTTAAAGGCTATATATACAGAAGAATATAATTTTTATATTGTTCTAGTTGGGAACAGCTGTGAACGTAACCTGGTGTTAAATGGTTACTAAAGCCCAGATACACTTACATTACGAGATGAGGTCTTTTATTGTGTAGTATAAAAGCCATTTCAATGTAAAATTTTGCAGATTTTAACCTACTAATACTGAATTATGTTTTATGAGCATCTTCGGACACATCATGTGATGTCCCAGCCATGAATTAGAGAAGCAAATAATTTTGGAGCACATAAAAGGCAAGTGTTCCATGGGTAGAATAGCATCCAAATGGTTAAATCTGGTTGAGAAAGTGTTTGAAGGTAGTCTATACCATATCTCATGTAACCGAACACTATGGAGGAAAGTCACATTTGGTCACAATTTTCAGCAGTGAGGGCACAATTAAGAATAGTAAATACTAAATATGCAATGAGACTACATCCAATCCAATTAGAATTACAATTATAATCTTGCCAGGAGAAACCTCAACAAAAAATTTCTTACCGTAACTCATAATTAAGAACCATGTACAAGGCAGGAGATGGTTCACGTTGTATCGCATGTAGAGATATGCTTGGATAGAGTAGATTGATGGTCGGAGCTGGATTGCCTGATGGACTAACGCCTCCGCCCCATATGACGTTGCTGTAAGCACAAAAATTATTGGAGATAATTCACTTTTTTTTTATTACCCTTGCAGACAGTATACATTGTATACGGCCCACCTGAAGGTGAGTGGTTACCGTCGCTCATCGACTTTAGCAATGCCAGGGGCAGAGATAAGCCACTGCCTATCGTTAAAATAACTTATCGGAGAACTCACAGTTATATGAATAATATAAAAATAAGATTAAAATTTAAAAAGGAATTTGAATTGCAAATAAGCAGATAGCTAATTATTATTCGAAGTTGTATAGATCCATAGGATTGCAATGCTTATAGTTATTTTAAAAAGTTGACTATGTGTTTAAATGAGTGTGGCCTCAATGACTTGGTAGAGAGAGAGATGGTGGGACATCACAAGAGGCATAACTATACTATACTTGAGACCTTAGAACTTATATCTCAAGGTGGGTGGTGCATTTACGTCGTAAATGTGTATGGGCTCCAGTAACCACTTAACATCAGGTGGGCTGTGAGCTCGTCCACTTATCTAAGCAATAAAAAAAATAAAAAAAGGCATTGAAGCTGAAGCTGCTGAAGCCCCTTTCAAGGCTACATAACAATCCAACAGCCACTCTCTCAAGAGTAATAATTAAGTAGAATAGGTTTCATATTTGACACAAATGTATAATCTGTGTATTTAGCTAGAAAATGTTCTAGTCAATAGAAATTTGAAGCACAGTGCTCATACTTACTATTGTAACTGAACTATGCATGTGTAATGTATTAGTGAAGGTACTAGTTCACCTTTTTAATAAAAAGGATTGCTAAGTGCAGATGATATAAATGATAACAAGATAGTTAAGCTCATTAATAATTAATAAAACATAATAGCATGAAGGAGTAATACGTTTCAGTTTGAAGGGTGGGGAAGCCTTTCTAACTATATTGAGACCTTAGAAATCATATCTCAGGACGGGTGGCGGCATTTACGTTGGAGATGTCCATGGGCTCCAGTAAGCACTTAACACTAAAAAAAAGCTAAGTACATACTAGATGTTGTACATATGAGATGTTTTTGTTCACCAACCCTTGGTTTTGGCACTATACTATCGGTTGTCACATACTTCAATGATACATACCATATTTTATTGAACAAACAATAACAAGTAAGTGCGCTTGTATCCAATTTTATTACGCAACAAAATGATAATTCGACCTTAGTTGACAACTATTGCAGTACATAAATACTTATTGTAGATTTTAATGAACTTCAGTAGGTAATTGGAGCTAAACCCAAATTATTAGAGGTCTAAAAAATTCGATATTTTCAATTGTGGAAATACAATAAAAAACTTACTTTTCAGTGATGTACAACGTAGCTGTACCTAATTCTTGATCATTTATGAGAAGTTTAGTTGATGGAGACTGTAGCAACACACCATCGGCCGGCTCAGCAAAATTACTTGACACCACTACCATTGTTGTACTTCAGTATATTTAAATGAATGAACACGAGAAAAGCGTTTAACTAATTTTTAATAAATGACTTCCAGTCTCTCGGCTTAATAGTTATGAGGAAAAATAAAAACAAAGCTTTTCAACAACCACGCTTCGGAAAGGAATTCACATTTCACAGATTAGTCTAATTAATAATAGTTGAAGGATTTTTTTAAGGGATTTTATTACCTGGTAACTAAGACTTTTAGGTCATGTCTTATTATAATTACAGGTCTACCAGGATCTGATGGCAAAAAGGGAAAAAAGAAATTGACGCTAGCAATATTGGGGAAATTGGAGTAAAACATTTTGATTATTAAAGCCTTGACAGCTGTTCTCCATAGTTCGCGAAGTGAGGTTTGGCACAAGCACTCGTTAAGTGAAGAAGCAATCATGCTTTAAATGATGGGATAGATATTAAAGCTAAATACAATAGAGACATTGACATTTCTAGCCTGGCAGCACTTTCGTTGTGATAGCTATTCTCGACACGAGAATCTTCTCATCGTGGCCGACGGTAACTATAGGTCTACCAGAATCTGATGGCAAAAAAGGGAAAAAATAGCGATTTTACAACAAAAAAATGACATCTGTTAAAACTGAAATTTTGAGGAATTCAAATTTCCTTTAAAATGTGGCGAAAATATCGAAGAAACCTCTTCTATCGCAAGCAAGAAATATTGTTTTCAATGTGTATCAAAGAATATTTGATGAACAAGGTGCAGAACAAACACAATCATCGATATTCAGCCATGTGCAAGCGTCGACTGTTTAGTAGGAATGACACATCTTGATACTTTGGTTAATTTCAGGTGTTTCTAATACTACCATATGACGAATTGTTGCTGAAGGCAGATCTAGCAGAGGCGTATTTAGTACGCCCGGTAAAAAGAGGAAAGGTGGCAAAAATACTGCGCCTTCCTCGTCTTCCTCTACCGATGAAGATTTTTTTATGGATGTGCAGTATTTGGAACCATTTAATAAATTAATTAATAAATTCATGAACAGAGGAATTGGAGTTTTCATCTAAATTTCGAACCCCACATTCGCCACAATAAGATTTTCAAAAATTATTCTTGATCATTGCATAAACTTTTATATTTGCATGTATCACACAATCAGCCGCTATAAGAAAAAAAAAGTGTCAAAACGTTTTACTCCAATTTCCTATATATTGCTAGCGTCAATTTCTTTTTTCCCCCCGTCATGACGTCCGTCATAGCCGTCGGAGCGCCATGGTTCCTTAGGAATGTGGATCTCCACGATGACCTGGAGCTCGACTCATTTAGTAAGTATCTACAGTCGGCATCACTGCGCCATTTTGAGAAGGTGGCACGACATGAGAACCCTCTCATCGTAGCCGCTGGAAATTACATACCCGACCCAGTAGACCGAATGGTAAACCGTCGACGTCGCCCAAAGCACGTCATTACGGATCCTCCTGATCCATTAATGGTGCTTTTAGGCACTACAAGCACCGGTCACCGTCCTCGTCGAACCCGTCGCTTGCGACGAAGGGCTCGACGAGCGAACTAACCCATAGACACAGCCCACTGAGTTTCTCGCCGGATCTTCTCAGTGGGTCGCGTTCCCGATCCGGTGGTAGATTCTGCGAAGCACTGCTCTTGCTAGGGTCAGTCTTAGCAACTCTCCGGTTGAGCCCCGCGAGCTCACTTACAAACGTTAGGGCGAAGCTGAAATAGCCTCTCAAGGCTATCAGCATAGGTAGGAATAAAAAACTTTTTTCCCTTTTTGCCATCAGATCCTGGTAGACCTATATTTATGTATATTCTTATTTTTATAAAAATGATAGAAATAAAATGAAGTGAGGATGATTATTTGAGACATTAATCAACTGAGATGAAATTAAATGAAAGTAAGTTGCGATGAGGTGATATGGGATAAAATATAATCTCAGTAAAATTGTGGTCATTGACTGAGATATTTTCAGTGGACTTTTTGGAGGATCCTGAGAAGTTACGTCCAGAAGCTTTGTTTCATTTTCCCACATTTGTACACTTTCACAGATATTAAATAGTTAAGAAACCATCGTTATTACACATTTAAACCTGAGGAAACACTAAATAGACAAAATAAAACAAATCACTCAACTTCACTCCTCGCGCTCCCGCCAAAAAGTCCTCACTGTCATAGATTATACACTTAATATTTGAGGGCTTGAGGGATGTTCATACTGTACTTCAAACATTTGAAACAATTCAATCTAAATTAAACTTAAAAAAATATTATTCGTGTATTCGTTGCAAATTGAAGACGAGGTAAACAGTCAGTCTACTAAACCTGTAAGTTATTAAAATATTATGCTGCTCATTAAGATTTAAAACAGCTAAGTATACCGGACATGCACTTAATTTTTTTTTAAATTGTAACACGAATTATAGGTAACTGCCTAAATTATAAAATATATATCCAATACCCCTTAGTCAGTTAAACTGTAATTTTACTTTTTAAAAATTAAGTACCGAAAACAATTTTTTCTGTCTTTAACAACTAATATTCTTGTAAATAATAAAACATGATTAACGGGTCCTCTATTTATTAGTTAATATCTTTTTTTCATATCCATTTAAGTGCCGCACGAATTTGAAGAGGTAATGCCTCAATCCAAGTATGAATCCATCCTGATCTGTAAGGTATAAATAATATACAGTTTATTGTAGTTTAAAACTTTCTAGTTATTTAGTTAGTGAGTTGTATTTTTGTATTTAGCTTATAGCTACTGAAGTCACTTGATTGCTAGTCTGAAGTGCCTAGCTGAGTTTCTGGAGAAGCTGATATGGTATGCTTATAATATCTATGACGCAGAACATAGAATTTTTTTAAATGTAATTAGATTTTCGGTTATACGCTAAGAACAATGAAAAATTTTGAAATTGCTATCATTTGTATAATACTATACACATTGGGATCAAGGAGTTTTTTTTAGAATATTAAGACTCAGTATTTCACAGTATCTCAATATGTTTAACACGACAAATCCCAAAATAGTTGAATGATTGTTTGTCTTTCTTTTTAACACTCATATTAAAAATAACACAAACTTCAGCCGGATAAGTAGAAAATGTGAGACTTACATATAAAAAATAAATAATATCATTTATTTATCTGAAAACCAATTATGACTTCCCAAAGCTCAGGTATGGGCTTACTTAATAAATTAAAATACACACAACAAGGACAGCTCGAGTGAACAAACTTGCTGTCTAGGGCTTGGTCATCGGAGCACATACATAAATAGACATTACCATAAGACATAAGATCGAAGTCAAATAGGAAAAAAGGTTGTTTGTTTATATTTAAATTCATTATTTACATAGTTATTTTTATTTTTTTTTATTGCTTAGATGGATGGACGAAGCTCACAGCCCACCTGGTGCTAAGTGGTTACTGGAGCCCATAGACATCCACAACGTAAATAATAGTGCGCCCAAGCGCCACCCACCTTGAAATATAAGATCCAAGGTCTCAGTATAGTTACAACGGCGACCCCACCCTTGAAACCGAAACGCATTGCTGCTTCACGGCAGAAATAGGCGGGGTGGTGGTATCTACCCGTGCGGACTCACAAGAGGTCCTGCCACCAGTTATAACTTAACGCACTGTGCTCTTGAAAGATAACAGCTAATTGTCTCTCATCATTAGCTCGTGACATCTGCTTATAACCTAATAAGGCGAGAGATTGAAGATTAATATGTAATAGTCTTTGTTTAGTCTAAAAAAAAACCTAGTCTTTTGTAATAATCTTTGTCTGTAATCTCTGTCGTCTTAGTACATACAGACTTCAACTCTATTCAAAAGCCATATAAAGCATTTTTTAATTCACGAATTGTATTGTGCTTTAATCTTTCAGAGGGAAAATCAATATATATTATTATGTATATTAAAAATTTTAATATTGTTGTTTTTTTTTTTTAAGTATGTACCTAATGTTCTGAACTTGGAATGCTTCGAACGTCGCCATTTTTTCGCGGGCTTTTGACGACGTTAGAGCATCACATCATTATTTCATTCGGATTTTTTGTTTCGAAAACGAAACGACTCGCAAGGGGTTCTACCACCAGTGGAAACCTACCACCGTTTCCTCAAAATTCACAAATTGTATCTCAAGGTGGGTAGGAGCATTGTGATGTCCATGAGCTCGTCCACTCGTCTATACGCTAAACAAATGAAATAAAAATCTTTAATGCGCAAAGCATTATTATTTTTTGGTGAAAACATAATGGTATTCTATCTTCTTGTTTCAAACAGCGGCTCTCAACCTTCGTGTTGCGACATGTCGGGGAGTGCCGACCTGGCGCCGAGTCTTGCTGGAAGGACCATTCTTGATTATTGAACATGGTGTTGTTAAGGTGCTTCACTACCTTCTCAAGAATGGTATCTTGATACACTCGTGCCGATGTTTTGATACCTTTTTCATAAAAGTATGGCTCAGTCACTCCTTCATAGCTAATACCCCACCAAACCATCACTGAAGTCGGATAGTGCCCACGTTGCACTCTGTCGACTAATTGGGAAGCTTCCTTAGAGCTTTGAGCATAAATACGGTCATTTTGTTTGTTAAAATGTTGCTTAATTGTAAAAAATTTCTCATCCGTAATCAAAAATTTTCTATGACCTCCCTTTACGTACCGCTTCAGTAGTTGTTTCGATTTTACCACCCTATTCTCTTTTAAATTATCAGTTAAGAAATGACCAGTATGTCTTTTATAGGCTGCAAGTCCTAAGTCATCTTTTAAAAACGCGACATGGTTCTAGGTGCTATCTTTATCTCCCGAGATAAAAATTTTTGCTTTCGGACAGGATTTCTTCGAATTCTTTCCCTTACTACTTTGACCACCTTTTTCGTACGAACACTACGTGGACGGCCAGATCTTTTCCTGTCACAAACAGAGGAGGTCTCATTGCACATATTAATAGCCCGGTCACTGGCCCCTGTCGAGTGTGGTGTGTGGTCAGAATTACAAATACGTTTTTTTTATCTACGACAACTTTTTTTTATGGCTTAGATGGGTGGACGAGCTCACGGTCCACCTGGTGGTAAGTGTTTGCCGGAGCCTATAGAAATCTACAATGTAAATGCCGCCACCCACCTTGAGATATGAGTTCTAAT